GTCCTGCTGGTGATCCAGCCATGACTTCCATGGATGCTAGGAAAGGGCTGTACCACTGAGCTACACCCCTAGATTTAACAATTGTTAATAAATCTTTTTTTTACCGGGGATCAAACTTGGGTCCTTGCATTTGCAGGGCAGGCGGTGGAACCACTGAGCTAAATCCCCGGGCCAATAAATCTTTATTAGAGATCCTTTTTTTTTTTTTTTTTGGGTACCGGGGATTGAACTTGGGTCCTTGTGCTTGCAAGGCAGGCCACCGAACCGCTGAGCTAAATCCTCGGCCCTAGATACTTGTTTCAAGATAATTGCCATTTTTCTGACTTATTTCTGTAAGAGTTGGCATAGAGTTGGAGATTCGGCCTATAGGTGTACGACTGGGGTGGCTGTTGCATGTTTCAAGTCCTGGGTGCATTGTATGGCCACCCAGTAGGTCAACCAGGAGCACCTTTCTGGAAACCCTTCAACCTTTGAGACAAAGGCACACCCAGCATAGGGCACACTTGATTTGTTATCCTCAGCTTTTCCTACCTGTCACTCCAGAGTCTTGTGAAGTTATCGCATGTATATATTATCAGACCATAGTGCAATTTAACTGGAGATCAGTAGCATAAGAAACCATAAGAACTTCACAGACATGTGCAAATTGAATAACACTCTTCTGAACAACCAATGGGTCACAGCAGAAATTAAAGGAGAAATTAGACAGTTTTTACAATTTAATGACAGTGCCAGTGCAACATACAGGAATCTGTGGTATACAATGAAAGCAGTTTTACATGGGAAATTCATAGCAGTGAATGTCCACACTAGGAAAACAGAGTGAGCTCAAATAACCAAATGGTGAATCCTAATCTCCTTGAAAAAGAAGAGCAATAGAAACCCAAAGGTCATACAAGGGAGGAAAGTATAAATGTCAAGCAGAAATAATACAATACAGACTAAGAGAATGATACAAAAAATTAACGAATCAAAGAGTTGGTTTTTCAAAAGCATAAATAAAATTGATAAAGCCTGTGCTGGATGACTCTGGCTCTCCTTCCTTGATTTAACAGAAACAGTGACATCACAATTGAGCCTTGTATACATTGGACAATGGAATAATTTTAATGTAGATGACTATAAAATCTGGGATAGGGCACCCTAGACCATTTGGTGGTTGACAAATAATTCTTTAAGGACAAGAGAATACAATGAATCGCAGATACTTTTCCCTCTGACTCAGCACCTCCCTTTTCCATTAGACTCCTGTGATGCCCCCTCCATAATAGCCCTAAAAAAGGCTACAGTGATACTCATTTCTTCCTTTTCCATTAGATTCCTGTGACCCCCCCCATAATAATCCTGAAAAAGCTACAGAGATACTCATTTCTTCTATGGGTGTGTGTGTGTGTGTGTGTGTATGGGTGTGTGTGTGTGTGTGTGTGTGTGTGTGTGTATTTGCTAGTCTATTTCTTTTTT